CAATTTGTGTACTGCTTCCAATTTTCCCTCATTTAGTCACATGAACAATCATTCTTCCTCTTCGTTTTTGTTTGCGAAGACGATTACAACCCAACACAAGACAATTCATTATTGGTTTATTATGATATCACGTAATACTGTAATAAATTTATCAATAAACGGTATTAAAGTAAGAATATAAATGAATTTTAACAATGATCTATAGCTATGGATCGCGTTAAATTTTTAATTGGTCGCGAAATGACACTACTGTTTACGATGAAAATGGTCTGTACAGTACGTGAAATCACAATGTTTGCTCAATAAAACAATATTCATTTGATTTAAACTCTCTTAAATCATTCAGGAAAAACAAAATAAAAAGTACAAATTATTTCGTACAATAACCAAAATAGTTTACATAACTACCTTCTGCATAAATGCTCGTAATAGTCGTGTTACTGAATAATTCTCTAATAAATAAGAACAATAAATGCTTTCGTTAAGTACTGAAAGTTTCTTTTAACAACTTTGCCCGGATGCTATAAAGTAAGTATATTTTGCTTTAAAGATGTTTATGAATGCCAAAGTTTTGACATCGAATAATATAATATTTAACGAAAATTAACGATTATTCTTTAATTACGATAAATATTTTTAAAAAAAAGTCGATTAAGAAGGATGATCAGATGATAAACTGAAAGAATGATTGAAAAAGAGATGAACAATCGAAATCGTATTAATCGTTACTTACCAGATGATTTCTTTTTACGTGCCACTTCGAGCACGCGTGCCATAGGTTCACCGCCCACCCCAGCTCTAACGTATCTATTGTTTGTGCATAATAAAATTCTTTTAAAAATAAATAAGCCTGTTTTACTTCAAATCCGCGAAAAGGTTAACCACATTTGCAGAATATTATACAGCAAATTTATATATATACCGTGTTTCCCCGAAAATAACACATCCGCAGAAAATAAGACCTAGCACAAATTTTGCTGAATTACGAAATATATGACCTCCCCCTGAAAGTAAGACCTAGCGAAGTTTTTTTTTTAGTCGTAACGGTGATCGACAGATGATTGAAAGGGGCCGTTGGCTTTTTGAAAGTACAGGCACTGATTGGTCAGCAGACAATTACGCCACACGGCATAATTTGCATAAGACTATGGCTTGGGAATCACAGATTTGCATAACGTTACGGCTGGTGATGGCTAATTGGTCGGCCGGGAATCACGCCACATGACATTTGCATAGTGCTACGGTTCAGCAAACACTAAGGGGTCATCGAGTCCGATGTTGACGCTATAAAAAGGCGACGTTGGACACACTAGACATACGTCACTCTCGTCTAAGTTCGACTTGGGAATTTTTTTGTTCAGTAATAAATGTGAATTCTTCTTCCTGGAAAAAATAAGACATTCCCTGAAAATAAGACCTAACGCATTTTTCAGAGCAAAAATTAATATAAGACACTGTCTTATTTTCGGGGAAACACGGTATATATATTTCTGTAATTTATTCTTTGGATTCGAATGGTTCAATATTCCAAACAATTTTGGATTTTAAATCTGTTCTTGGCACTTCTATTTAAAAAAAAAACGCTTATTAATATCTCAAAGATTAAAAACTTGAAGATAACCTCTAGAACAGGTTGAAAACGTTCGTTACGTTAATAAATAATTTTCAATGAGATACATGAAAGTAGAGACCAGATGTAGAAAGACTAGGGGCAGAAAGCCCAGATTAACTATATAAGAATGTGATATTTCATAATGTACTGTATGTCATGTTACTTCGATTCAAATTTTTCCACTGAACGAAGTTAGATAGATGACGGGCACGACTCTATTGCTAACAGGAAAAGTATGACGTATAAAGGCAAAACCACCACTAAAAGAATTGAGAACGTTGTGACGAAAAGTTGCAGCCCGTCACATCATTGTGACGATGTCAGAATAAATAATCGCTGGTTAGAATTAGTTTTGTTTTATTTGGTTATTGCAACGCGACAAGTGAGCTATCTGCATGGAAATTCTTCGAAAAAAGCGAAATAATAATAATACCATGTAATAATACTGTACAGTATTTTCACACCTTTATTTTCATAAGACGATTTTAGGAAGAAATAATAATCGAGTATTATTGGCATGGAAAATACAAACTTCTTCACACTAATACTATTTAATAATCTCTGTTCGATTCTTAAAGATACAATTAATTAATTGTTAATGTAAGTATTGTTTTTACTCGAAAAGTACTCAAACTTAGCAAAACTAGATTACCTACAGTATATACTGTCTACTATAACAATTTTCACTTTCTTAGCATATATGATAATTAATTAAAATGTTGTGTATTAAATCTGTTATAAAATTATCAGTTTTGTTAATCATGTAAGAATAAATACCGCTATAACCTTTCGCAAAAATAAGCAAATTTTTTAGATTAGTAAAAACATTCCGAAAAATATGCGCGGAAATATAGTGATATTGAAAATAAGAACTTACTGTAATTAATATTGGAGAAATACACAGAAATGTGAACAAAAATAACGTATATTGTTTTAAAGTTGAAATTAAAAGTATAGCTATGGTAAAAGTAACATTGCTTCAGTTTACATCTCAATATAAATAAAGCTTTTATAGAAAAAGCAAAAGCTTATTACATAATAAAAATTAATCTATTGAAAATTGTCATAATAAAGTGTGTACACTGTTTTGACTGAATTTTACAAACTGCAAAGAACAAAAATATACTTATTTTCTTCCTCATCAGAAATTTACAAATACAGGTAGGCCTCTTACAACGCGATACCTTTACAACGCGTTTTCGCTCCAACGCGGTTGGAAAAATGCGAAATTTTCTTACAACGCGGTTTACGGTAATTAGAAACGAATTATCTTCACATAACAGAAAAATCGCAACGGATCACGTGATACGAGCCACGGTTCGATATATAGAGCTAAAAGTCTTTGAAAACAGCTGTTTGTCGACGTTGGCGTGTTATTCCCTTGAAAGTTTCAGGGAAAGACCAATTTCTAGACAGATGTGCATCAGTTACCGTAAACACTCAAATATATCACTAAATTTTCGATCATTTATACTCTTTCAATAAGTGGGGATTGCAAAAGTGGTCCAAAATACAGTATAAACTTCTATTGCGTATATATTTTTAATAACATAGTGAAAGGAAGTTATTTTTTGCGATTTTTACTGTCCACAAAACTGATTGAAAAAAATTTTAGCCATAACAATGCCGAATAAAAAAAAGGACCGTCATTAAAAAGGAAATTTATAACTCTTCAAACAAAGATAGAAATTTTGGATCGAATTAAAAATCAAGAGCGAATAGCTAATATTGGTAGTAGGGTTTGTCATTTCCCGGGAAATTTGCCTCCAGCGGGATTACGGGAAAAATAATTTCTTTTCCCGGGATCCCGGGAAATTCCGGGATGAGATAGTAAAATAGAATTTTATATGAATAAAAAAGATCATACAGGAATATCATAAATTTGAATAATTTAATTTATTTTCTAGTAAGTAACTAAAAGTGTAAGGACAATCTCACCCATACGGACACGTTAGGCTCAATTAATTTTTGTTCTCCTACATTATAAGATGAAAGTAAAATAAAGCGTTTCATTGGGAGTTTTAATGATTACGAAAAAAAAAATACTATTTTACTTCTAAAGATGAAATAAAAAATAAACTAAAGTGCGATGAGTGATATTTACTTTCAGCAAGTCTCCGCTGTTCAATGATGCGCAAACACAATACATAGATATTACATGAACTAACAAGTAGAGACTTGTAAAACGTAGGTAATAATATGCAGCAAGAAACCTCAAAATTTCTCTCTTAGGTGAGTCTTCAAGATGCAACTTTTCGTATAATAAAAAATAGAAAGAAAACCTGACATGGTAAATTATTATTGAAATGCGAGATTTCCCGGGAAAATAAAATTTCCAGGGATTTTTCTCGTAGGGAATAAAACGGCGAAAATCCCGGGAAAGAAACCCTAATTGGTAGGCATTTTAATTTAAATGAGTCGACTATTCGGTCGATTAAGCAATCGGGAGAAAGGATCAGAAATTTGGTCGCATCCGGATCCTATTCTTGCGAAAAATGTTGCTCGTCGGAGTGCACATATAATGAAAAAAATGGAACAAGAGCTAATATTATGGGTAGAAGATATGAACAAGAAACAGCAGTTTAAGCGCAGTTTTATTTAAAAGCACTCGCCTTTAAATAAAACTGCACTTAAACACAAAGCCTTAAAAACATTTGATTATTTAAAACAAATGGGACAGTCGTAAGCTGATGAAACCAGTGTTAAATTCGTGGCTACCAATGGCTGGTTCGGAAAATTCAAAAAACGCCATTCAAACGCCAAGTTTTTCTCTTTTTAGAACCGAATCCCAGTTCTTGTATTAAGTTGGTGTCTCCTATAACGCGATTTCCCACAACTCGGTATATTCAAGGAACGTATCTACCGCGTTGTAGGAGGCCTACCTGTATGTATTAAACATTAGATTTTTAATACTTTTCTTCAAATGGGCTTATGCTGCACTCTGAGAATTGTCTTATACGACAGTACTGGGCAGTTTTTCAAGTATGGCAAAATGAATTTTACCAGCTTAACTTTAAAACTAGCCTGGCGAGGATTTCTGTGTCAGTATGTTATCAAAAAAGTCTATGAGAATTCTAATTACTCTCACCAAACTGTCCTTTATCCTGGTTTGATATTAAGCCAAAAAAAGCTCCATTCCTTGCAAGATGGTTCAGGGTTTCAACGCACTCATAACGTGCAACTTTCTCTTTAAAAACTCTAATTTTGATCACAAATAATTTGAAATGAAAATGATGATTTTTAGAAAATATTTATATGTAAATATATAATCAAATAGATAAGACATGTAGGAAATAGTTCTTACAATAATATATAATTGGTAAATTACTCGACAAAATTGGAGACTTCAATATCTTATTTAAATCACTTGTTTTGTCATTCGAAAGGTTTACATACGGCTAAACTTTTCAAATCGCAGAATAAACTTACATAAATATTTAAAGTTCTACACATAAATTCAAATTTTTATAATTTAAAATCTGTTTGAAATTATCGGACAATATTCAAATGAATCGAACAAATTTGTTTAGAACAGATAAAGATGGAATTTTTTAAAATTATTATTTTCATTTATTTTCTTAATTCTTACAAAGCTCAAAATTCAGACTGGAAGTTACCAATGGCCAGTAACATTACCACCTTTGAGTACGTCAAATTTGACATTTTGACAACCAGAGAATTAAACTTTATGGCTTTCGGTAAAACTTTTAAATTTAAAATGAAACCTGATTCATCTCGATTATTTTGGACTGCAAAACTGTTTTCTTACGTGGATAATAACATCAAAAAATTCTATTTACAAAATGTCTTCTTCGACGGACAAATACTTTTCGAAGGGCATATCGAAGGAAGAAACGATAGGAAAGTAACAGGATATTATTTACAAAAAGTATTCGTCGGAAGAATAATTATAAACAATACAATTTACTATCTAGAGCCTGCCAATCTTTATTTTCCTCAAGCAGATTCCAAGCTTGGTATCATATATGACCTTAGTAGTGTCAATGAATATATGTATACACAACCATCCTGCGAACGGTTAACGAAACAAAATGTAAACGATATTAACAATTTCCATTCATCAGAGCCTAACTACAATAATTTGCAAAAGAAAACTTTTCAAAGGTAAGATTTCAGCATAAAAGATTCTATTCTTTTAAGCACTAAGATCTGGTGTAAAAACTGTATGACTTATATACAGCAATTCTGTATAATATATAGTGGATAGTGGAGAACTACTAATTATTATTTTTTTCTATCTCTAGCAAAATATGTTCCATGGAAGTATTGATTGACCACACGTACTATCAATACATGGAATCTGATATAAAAGCGGTACTACTTGAAATCATACACCTTATAAGCATTGCCAATTCGATATTCAAGGAATCAGACCTTGATGGAACTGGAAAATCGGGACTTATAGAATTCCTCATAGACAAAATAACAATTTTCGAACAAAGAATTCAAATAGCGTATCCATATTCAGACGAGAGCAGCGACAGTCCAGGATTTATAGAAAAGTTAAAAGAATATCAAAGTCCTTACTGTCTGTTAATCTATTTCACACACAAGGATCTCGAAATAGAAAACTTTTGCAGTAATCGTAAACTCGGAAGAATATGCTCTAATTCTTATTCAAAAAGTAAAATACACAACGTGATATTTATTACGAATGTTTTCAAAGGAATGGAAATTCCGCGACACAGAATGGCATTGACTCTTTTACATTATCTTGGACACGCATTCGGATGCCAAAATAATCCAGCAAATGATTCTTTATGTAGTCCAGCACACTTTCATAAAGATGCGGGCAATTACATTATGGAATCTCGTTACACCAGCGGAGCACATATTAACAATTGGAAATTTTCAAGCTGCTGCATAAAATCCATGAATAAATTTATTAAAACCAGAGGTAAGAATTAATCATTTTTTAATATTGATGAATAAACGACGACTAATCTTAAAAACAACAACAAAAAACAGATTATTGTATGAAAAAGGTATTTGATTCTTCGTGTCAAAACGGCATCGTCGAAGAAGGTGAAAGCTGTGACTGTAATCCCTCTGATCGAAAATGTGGGAAAACAAGTCTTTGCTGTTACGACAAACAATACACCATGCATTGTACGCTTAGATTGGGAGCGTTTTGCACATTTGGAACCGACGAATGTTGTAATTACAACTGCTTCAGAACTACTTTGAAAGAGAATAGAACTTGTTTCAGTAACAAGCCTTGATGGAACGTTACCGGTATTTGTGATGGATCTTCTCCTTTCTGTCCTGCACAAATGCAACCCGATGGTATATCGTGCCTAAATAACACAGGCATATGTATAAAAGGAAAGTGCAATACCGAAATATGCAAAATAAAAAATCTACGATCTTGTCATTGTTCTCGTCGCACCGAGTGTTTTGTCTGTTGCAAAAATAAATCGAGTAAATGTCTACCAGCGACGTCATTTAACATCTTCACGTCGACTTTGGAAGCTTACGTCAAAACAGAGGGTACTGAGTGCGACAACAATCATGGATTATGTACAAGGTAAATGTATTTATATTTGCAATTAAATTAAGAATACATAATAACTGTTCTTTTTGTTTTGTAGTAACGGAACTTGCAAAAGAAAAAGTATCTATAAAGAACATACAGTAGCGGAGTATGCGTACGTATTACCTTTCGTTATGATCATAGTGATTGCTATTGGATGTTTTGTATCGCAGCAAGAGAAACGACCAAGCATTATAGACATTAGTAGAAAACATATGAGTAAGAAAAAAATGATAAAATTAAAAACCATACAAAAGTAATAGACTATTATTCAAATTTTACTATTATGTGCTATCATAATGTGGAAATGTGGTGTGTAAAGTATACTTTTCGAATGCAATTTTGAATATGTTTCTGTACTTACATTTGAATTAATGATTGATTTTTGTGAATATATTATTTTTAAACTGTAGAATTTATGTACTGAATATTATAAATATCTATTATTTTCATCACATTCGACAAGTGTTGTACGTAAAATTTACTGTATACTATTTTAGTGAAATTAAATATTTAGTATATTTAAATAACTCAGACCTGACAAAGTTCGTTTTTCTTATTATTGATTGTAACATGAAAGGTCATGTAAATGTTTTTTTTTCTTTTGAGCAATACACTGCGATGATAGTATACTGCACAATATTTCTCCTCTTACAAATCTTTTTTCTTTAAGAAAATATATGCCGTACTTCAAAGGTATCTATTACTTTATTTCTTTGTTTATTTACACATGTTTTCCTTTCTGCTTCAAGTGCTTGCAAAACTGTTTACTTTCCATTTCTGAAAGCTTTCATTTTTGTCGATAACCTTCTAAAATTGTAATTGTTCAAGAATTGCAAGTCATAATATTACTTTTAGAGTTTTATATAGTTTTATCCTATTTTTTAAAAGTAGGAAATATAAAAATGCTGTAACTCTAAAAATAGAAAACCAATCGATACCCATTAGCATATTTCTGAAATGAAATGCCTCAGAAACTCAAGTTTATGATATTATATACATAACTTTTATACACATATTCGTCACGTAAATGCATAATATCGATTATTCCACATAACTGATTAAAATTCTTTCTCATAAATACACAGAATTTCGAACGTGAATATCTTAATTATCTAACAGCACGGAATATTCAGATAGGAGTTATTATTAGCGCAACCTTGGATAACACAGGTTATAATTTCACAGTCCCTCTATTAACAAATGCATACGTAGAGTTTGATATGTATAAAATTCCATTAAAAGAAAATTTAACAGTTATGTGAAATTTAAGCAATTTAGAAGTGTATTCAAAACATTTGTATAGAATTGTAACATAATAAATGTTACATATATATTAGATTAGCTTGAACTAGAAATTTGTCTTTCGGCATAAAACTGTACTATAAATTAGCAAACATGGATTGGAATTTACAAGGTGTCTGCATGGGATGTTTCTTAAGGCCTTGCTGGATGATGTCTGTCGTCTTCGGTTTAGAGCCATTCTACATATGTAAATGTAAAACAGATATTGCCATTTTGTATAACGAACAATTAAAAAATACTTATATTAAGTGTATAGAAGTTATTTTATGGATATCCTTTGTTTATTCTTGTTGCATGCAATACCAGGTTTCAGAGATTATACGATTTGTAAAGGATGGTTTGATGATGTCGGTACTGAAAATACAACAATGAATGCTGCCTTCGGGTTACTATTTGCAGGTTATTCAATGTGTTTTAGTTTTCTCCGAAACAATAAATTCAGATTACTGCAAAATGAATTAAAAAACGAATATTTCCGACAGAAAATGATAGACGAAGATAATTCCACAATGAGAAAAATATCCCTAATCGTTGCTTTCATTGTGATGACGACTGTATCTGGTTTTCAATTGGTTAATGTATTTCTGCATTATCCCGCTATGCAGAGAAGACAGTATTTCGAGGGAGAAGCTATTCTGTGCAGCGTTGAAATTGCTTTGGGTGTAATATTTGGCAACGGAGGAGTTGGATATGGAATACTGTCAGGTGTATCAGTATTGCTCGTCGCTCAGAAAGAATTCGAACATCTCCAGAATGAACTATTTGTAATAAAGAATAATGAATTTCTGCCAAACAAATTAAAGGAACTTATGCAGCGTCACGAAGAATTGTGGATATTTGTTAACCAGTTAAATACGAAGTTTGATTTTGTGTTGTGCTTTGTTTATTTTGGTGGTCTTTCGATGACGAGTTTTTTGTTTTATGGATATTTATTCATAGAAATGAATGAATTAATGCAATATATGTTTTTAGCAATGTCCGTAATCTTTACGTTAATTAGTGCATATTGTGGATGTTTAATGTGCTGTTTTGCATTCAAGGTAAATATTATTCGAGTTTTATCCTTTCGAGTGATTTAATTATAATTTGTACTACTTTTTTTGGTTTTTCCATTATATGGGCACTAAGAGGACCTCATTCTAGTATATCCATTACGGGTTCGGCCAGAGCCTACAATGGTGTGGTCGGGTGATGAGAGATGAGGTCCGACATATTCGGATTGACCATCCCCGAAAAATTCCTGTAAACTTTTAAACTTCTTCTGATTGATTCCGGATCTCCCGGCAGTAGGCTTCCATTCTAACTGCTCGGCCATTTGGCCGTTACAATACCTACTGCTATCGTTAGATGCTTTTGATTCTAAATATTATGTACTATGTACTATTAGAATAATATTGCATTGAATTCATTTTATTACTCTTATTATCTAGATGGAGAATGGTTTTCAAGATATTCGTCAATTTGCTGTAAGCAATTTAAAACTTGAGCAGAAACTAAAGGTACAGTTTATGTGATTTTTGAAATTTTTTCCAATAAATTGAACCTTTGCGATATTTCTTGAATAAGCTTGAATAATAGTACTCTTTATTTATATATGGAAAGATATATTATGTTCAGTTCGATAATTACTTTGTTTCCAATAGTTTATTCATGTTATAGCATGACATCTGTTAGTTTATGTAAAGAACTGTATAGAGATGATTTTACTTTTCCACGGATATGTGCATGACGATTGAATTTAAAGACAAAGATAGATTTTCCTACTATGTTTCTATCAAGTTAAGCATTAATTAACATATAACAAATGCCTTTGTAAAAGCATTCTTTGCTTTTCTATGTCTTTAAAATACAAAAATTTCGATGGAGAGAAAATGAGAGAAGACAAATTACGCCATTTACTGGTTCATCCGTGTCTCGTTTAAAACTGGTCTTACCGAATATTTTTTACTTTACATGTTTATTTATAGAACTGAATTGTGTTGGTATTTGTTGTATAAAATTTTCTTCAGTTTTCATTTTTTAATATCTTGTGTTCTTTACGTATTTTTCCAGATTCTTAACTTTATGAAAAGATTCGGAAATGTTTCGTTGTGTATTACGGTGGGTGGATTCTTCGTCGTCAGTAAAAAATTCCCTCTTAAGGTTGTCATTCCTGTATTTCTGTAGATAATTTTTAAATTTCATTCAATAAAGATAAAAATTTTCCGTATAATTACAAAATTATATTATTTTTCAGATGGCGAAAACCTTGCAATCTGTTTTTTCTGGCCTTTTCAAGTTAAAAAACGTATCGAATCTGAAGAAAGAATGCGACAATAACTTCTTACGTAATTATACTTCTTATAATTGAAAGTATAAAATGAAGGAAGTGCGAAATTTTATAAATGGAATGTTCGAACGCTTATAATCGAAGTAATAAAATGAAGAGACAAGTAAAGTTNTGAATAATAGTACTCTTTATTTATATATGGAAAGATATATTATGTTCAGTTCGATAATTACTTTGTTTCCAATAGTTTATTCATGTTATAGCATGACATCTGTTAGTTTATGTAAAGAACTGTATAGAGATGATTTTACTTTTCCACGGATATGTGCATGACGATTGAATTTAAAGACAAAGATAGATTTTCCTACTATGTTTCTATCAAGTTAAGCATTAATTAACATATAACAAATGCCTTTGTAAAAGCATTCTTTGCTTTTCTATGTCTTTAAAATACAAAAATTTCGATGGAGAGAAAATGAGAGAAGACAAATTACGCCATTTACTGGTTCATCCGTGTCTCGTTTAAAACTGGTCTTACCGAATATTTTTTACTTTACATGTTTATTTATAGAACTGAATTGTGTTGGTATTTGTTGTATAAAATTTTCTTCAGTTTTCATTTTTTAATATCTTGTGTTCTTTACGTATTTTTCCAGATTCTTAACTTTATGAAAAGATTCGGAAATGTTTCGTTGTGTATTACGGTGGGTGGATTCTTCGTCGTCAGTAAAAAATTCCCTCTTAAGGTTGTCATTCCTGTATTTCTGTAGATAATTTTTAAATTTCATTCAATAAAGATAAAAATTTTCCGTATAATTACAAAATTATATTATTTTTTAGATGGCGAAAACCTTGCAATCTGTTTTTTCTGGCCTTTTCAAGTTAAAAAACGTATCGAATCTGAAGAAAGAATGCGACAATAACTTCTTACGTAATTATACTTCTTATAATTGAAAGTATAAAATGAAGGAAGTGCGAAATTTTATAAATGGAATGTTCGAACGCTTATAATCGAAGTAATAAAATGAAGAGACGAGTAAATTTTTCACGATCCTGTTGTCACAGTGTCTATATTCTTCACATTTGAATTCAGACGTGAAGAATATGTTTTCAAAATAAATATCGAAAAAACAAAATAATGTTAAGAAAACAAACGAAAATAACAAACTTAAAAATTCCATCTTTATTTGTCTAAACAAATTTGTTCGATTCATTTGAATATCGTCCTATATTTTCAAACATACTTTAAATTATAAAAACTTGAATTTATGTGTAGAACTTTAAATATTTATGTAAGTTTATTCTACCATTTGAAAAGTTTCGCCGTATGTAAACCCTTCGAATGACAAAACTGGTGACATAAATAAGATATTGAAGTCTCCAATTTTGTCGAGTAATTTACCAATTATGTATCATTGTAAGAACTATTTCCTACATGTCTTATCTATTTGATTATATATTTATATATAAACTATTTTCTAAAACACATTATTTTCATTTCAAATTATTTGTGATCAAAATTAGTTCTTAAAGAGAAGGTTGCATGTTATGAGTGCGTTGAAACCCTGAACCATCCTGTAAGAAATGGAGCTCTTTTTGGCTTAATATCAATCCAGAATAAAGGAACAGCTTCGGTATGCAAGACCAGCTTTGGTGAGAGTAATTAGAATTCTCATAGACTTTTTTAACAACGTACTAACACAGAAATCCTCGCCAGGCTGGTTTGAAAGTTAAGCTTAAATTGCTTAATCTGTCACATATCTCATTAAAAATTAAACGATTCAAGAAACACAGACAGAAATACAATTTTGAATGCAAGAGAGGCCCATAACTGCGGCAATAATTTCTGGCACTAAATGAGTATAATCAAAATGTGATTAAAAA